CCCCAAAACCCCAAAACCCCAAAACCCCAAAACCCCGCTTTCATATTATTAGCAAGAATGCGTAAGTTTTTAAATTACAATTGATTCGATTGGTGAGTTATCGTATTTAAGACTAAGTGGACGTCACCTTGATATATTAATAACTTTGAATTAAATTTTATTAAACGATCATATCACTTGACAATATGAAACAAGACCACTCAGCAGACTCTAAAAATCACTCAGAATCCCTTGATAAGCAGGATATTCCATCCCAATCTTCTCAATTATTGTATTCTTATTTTGCCTATTATGTTTTTCGATTTTAAAACCAATTTTCAGGAGTGAGGACCGAGATTTGAGCAATAAATGCAGAAAAAGTGATGACGCTATGATCCTTAAAGATCATGAGAACAAACAGTTTAACCGCGGTATGACGAAAAATGAGGGTCACATCCCCTCTTACTTTGAAAATTTCCAACCCATTGAGAACTTCAAGGAGAACTTTAAGTTCTTAAAAAGCGAGGTGAAAGATGCATATAGCAAGAGACATGAGGTCATAACAAAGAAGTAATTCAAGGATCATTTTGAATATATAAAACTGAGTACAAGGTCAACGTTAATATATGCTAAAGATCATCTTTTCAACTTTTCTAATGTAAGAATAAGAATATCTTATCATAAACTAAATAGTATGAGGACAGCTAAAGCAGAAAAAGTATGAACGAGCTCTATAATTAGTACAGATGGCAAATCATCATAATGAGCAGCAGCATGATTTCCATGTTTTTGATGAGGAAGTAGTTAAAGTAGCTATTGCTTGATAGTAGAAAGAGTAAATAGGGAGATTAAGATTTCCTCTAGAGACTACAAAGCAAATTTTATGGTCCTGCTCCCTCATTTTAAAATGTCTAGTATCAGAAAATTTCATTAGATAACTTGATATATCGATATAACATGAGCATCAGTATAGGTGTTTTCTTGTTTGGCTACGGTATCAGCCTAAGCGGCCACACTCTTTATTAGTTGTTCTGCAAAAATCATCAAAATAACGTTGAGTAAAGCGGAAAAGACGATGAGGAGTGAAAGATGTGAATTAAATAGAAAAATACATATGAGCAATCATTCATTGCTCCTTAAAGCTGACATATAAGTATTGGTGTTAGATAGCAACTGTTGATTAAGGAAGGATTAAATCTCATCAGATTTGATCTAGCAGTAATTGGCAGCATTCTAATATCAATATAATCAGCAAATAATTCTATAGCATTATGTAACACTATAATCTAAATATTTAAGTTAAATTTTCCTTTCTTAGCTTGATTTTTAAGCAAAGGGGTTTTGGGGTTTTGGGGTTTTGGGGTTTTGGAACGCC